TGATATTTTAATGAAATAATTAGAATAGGAATGTAATATTGTATAAGAATGAAATAATAAATAATATATTAGATAGATGATATTCAAAGAAATGAATAATGAATATAAATAAAAAAATAATAAATCATAAAATCAAATCAAAGAAATAAAAATAAAATAAATAATAAAATAAATGATTGAAATATTACTCCATCTTGTATTTTATTTAATTTGATAAATGAGTTCTTTTTAATATTGATGGATTCAATGTATTGATTGTAGTAGTTTTATCTATAAATTTTGACTCAATCAATATTCTAAAATATCCACTTATTTGATTTCAATTTATTGATATATTTGATTATCATTATTTATTTATTATTATTATTATTATTATTATTATTATTATTATTATTATTATTATTATTATTATTATTATTATTATTTATTTTTATTTTCAATCATTTATTTTATTATTTATTTTATTTTTATTTCTTTGATTTGATTTTATGATTTATTATTTTTTTATTTATATTCATTATTCATTTCTTTGAATATCATCTATCTAATATATTATTTATTATTTCATTCTTATACAATATTACATTCCTATTCTAATTATTTCATTAAAATATTCATCAATCATGTTTATTATTCATTATTTCTTTTATATTGGTATATAGATTGTCTTTAGAGTTACCAACAATAATATATTTTGTATTTATTATTTATTTTATTATCTTAATTTCAATTTTATCTAAATTACATTCTATTTTATTACTGATAATGAATATCTTCAATATTGATTAATTCATTATTAATTATTGTAATATATCTTATATTACTACTTTCTTCATATTTTATTTCATCTATTTTCTTCATCATCTTTTATTTGATGATAATTAACTATTATTTAATTATATACATAAAATAAATAGAAATTATAAATTAAATAAGTTGAATATAATTTTTTACTGATGATACACAACATTGGAGTTAATAATTTTTATTTCTTATCTATCAATGAAGTACTAAAGAGAAAAATGAAAGAGGATGAGTAAATGAGATAAATTACTATTTTAATGATTTTTTAAGATGTTTAAAAGACAAAACAAAAGCATTGAAATAAACAAAGAACATTTAACTTAAAGAATAGAAATATACTTTTATGCAAACGTAAGTTCTCTCAAATTTTGATAACTTTAAGATATTGTCTATTTCAGTGCCTGTTCACTGAATAAATAAAATTGATGCCATATGAAACCTCAACCAAAACACCTTTTTCACTTATTTTATGAAAAGATTTATTTCATCTAGAACTAACACAAGAATTTAATCTTAAAACCTGACAATTCTAAACAAAAAAAAACAAAGCACCAAACACAGTTGAGATGATTAAAGTCAATCATTAGAACAATAAAAGAAACATGAGTTAAAGAAGAAGTAAACAATAATCAATATTACAAAAGATGAACGAGACATCAATAATTGCTATTAACAAAGACTTACCATCATAGCTATTGCCATATCAGGGTCTGTCATTTTATTAATATCTAACAAGTTATATGCATCTGCCGATATATCACTTCTCATTTCAACTCCAAGTTCTTTAAATTTATCAATAATTTCCTTATGAACATTAGCAAAAGGAATAGTTTTTGGTTCATCTCCTTGAGATTTTTTAATAATTTCTAACAAACCAATCTCGTTATTTTCTTCTTTTGGTTGGTTCATAATTTTTGTTATTTCGCGATCTATATCAACTTCGGAGATATAAACTTTAGTTACTACTTGACAAACATCACAATATAATTCACATCGTTCTAAATTAAATTTTGGATGGAACAATAAACAAAGGGTGCAAATAAATCTTTTTCCTTTACAACACTTTAAAGTATTCATTCCTTGTCTTACTGTTTGAAAACAAATCATACACATTTTGTCATCTTCACAATAAGGTTCTTCACTTGGATAAATTGGTGCAATTTTTCTTTTACGAATTAACTTTTCAACAGTTAAATTTCTCATACCTTTAGGGAGTGTTGTGTCATTTGGGAGATGGTATTTATGAACATCCAATTGTTTCTTAAAATTGGATTTAATTAATGTTTTAGGATCATTTGGTAAATCACTTTTATTCCTTTTAAACAAATGAAACATCCAACTTTGTTTTATCAGTTCAATTTTGTTTTTATTATTCATTTTAAATTTTTTTCTTAATTAATTTTATCTTATTTATTTTCTATTTGTTATTGACCTTTCTTCTCTTCTTCTCTTTTATAATTTATAAATTTATAAATTCTCATATTCAAAATCTATAAATAAATATTATTAATTTAATAAAATAAAACTATAATTATAGCTTTTCTGTAAAATTTAGAGTTGTATTCTATTTTTATGACTTAAATTTTACAATAGAACATAACTGACTTGTATTTTAAAAACTGTTAACTTCATCATTTGCTGGTCTAATTCTCTTAGAAAGTTTTAAAGATTGAATTACGTAAGGATGTTTATATACTTCTTTCCAGGAAAGACGATCCTTTTCGTGATGAGTAATCAAATGAAGAATAAGATCTTTTAATTGATCATTGATAATGACGTCATCTCTAAATTCAGCAGGAAGTTCATTTGTCATTGCATTTTGAAAGACATCAGGAATATCAGTAAATGGGAATTCTTTAGTAGCCATGTAATATAAAATTACACCAAGACTATATAAATCAGCTTTAGCAGTGTAAGGTTGATTTTTTCTAATTTCAGGAGCCTCATATAAAGGAGTACCAACTATTGATTTCATCATTCCATCAATTCCTCTTGAAAAACCATAATCAGCAATTTTAAGTAATGGATATTTCGAAGAAGATGATTTTAATAATAAATTAGCTGGTTTAAGATCTCTATGAATTAATCTTTTATTAAAATGAAGGTACCACAACCCACTACAAATTTCTCCAAGGAAATAACTAATTTCTTCATCTGATAATGGAGTTGGCTTATTTTTAATATACATTTCTAAATTACCTGAATTACAATATTCCATTACTAAATAAACATACTTCCCTTCTGGACTTTGTTCACCTCTTATTTCAGCAATCATTGAATGATTCCATTCAAAAAAATCCTTATATTCTACTAAATTAGGATGTTTACATAATCTCATACAACTAGCTTCACGTTTTAATGAATCAATTCTTTGTGAAATTTCTTTAATAGCAAATTGGGTATGATCAGTATTTTCAGCTAAAAAGACTTGACCAAATTGACCATGATCTAATTGTTTTAATGGTTTATAATTTTCTCTTTTACCTTGTGTTCCATATTTATGATTCTTACACATTTGAATAAATGGATGAGTAAGAACTTCTTGCATTGAAATTCGTTCGTCTGGATCATATTGAAACATTTTAGATAACAAATCACATGCCATCTCATTTTGTATAAATGAAGAGACATCAATAAATACTTGTGCTGGTATAGCACTTAATGAATCCATTTGCATTAATTCAAATGGTAATCTACCAACTAATAATTTAAATATTAACATTCCAAAAGACCATACATCTGATTTAGAATGACTGTACCAATTTAAATATTCTGGAGCAGCATAATTAACATCACATAATTCCAATTCGTTAGGGATTGTCTGTTCAAATTGATCACATAACCCGAAATTTGATAACTTTACTTTAGGAAAGATTGAAGCAGGATCTCGAGATAATAAAATATTACATGGATATAAATGAAGGTGTTGATGATTTAATGTTTCATAAATATATTCTAATCCTATTGCAATATCAGAGATAAAAAATAAATTTTGGTCTTGTTGAATAATTGCATTACTTTTCCAATATTCATCAATACTTTTAAAACTACAATACTCCATAATAATCCAATATTCTAATGACCCTCTCTATTTTTATTTAATATTTAACAAATTTTTATTTAATAAAATAAGAAAAATTAACAAACAATTGTAGTATAAAATGAATTGAAGTATTGTAATACATGTGGATTATCAACAGTTTCCATATATTTAGAATAAACTTCTCTTCTTTTGTTTTCTTCTATTTTATTTTCATCAATTTTAATCATTTTAATTGTAACAATACGAACTTGTCTATGCCTTAATCCTGATCGTTCTGTAGCTTTATATATTTCTGTTTTACTATCTTTATATAATTCGTCTTGAATAGTGAATTTAGTGACTTGTGATAATGGAGCGAGGGTGTAATTCTCCATTGAGATATAATTATGAGTTCAAAATGATTTTAGATCATATAACAAAAAAAAAGTAAAATAAAATTAAAAAATAAAACAAAAAAATTTAAGTTCTTTTATTTTGTTTTCATGGATTCACCTCATCAATCTATTAGTGAAGATGATAATGATTATAACCAAATTTTTGATAGGTTAAGTGCTGACGCTGAATTAATTAATAAAAATAAAAGAAAATATCCAACAGAATCATGTCAAAAAGTTAAATTAACAAACCATTCATACTCAGCACCTGTAGTAACAAAAAAAGTGAAATGGCTTGAAATTTCAGAACACCAAAAGGTTGAGATTGAAAAAGAGATGGTTTGTCATGTCTTAACTTTTAAATATCCTTTCAACTCAGAAATAACAAGATTTGATTGTCCACCATCAGAATTTAAATCAACAGAACATTACATTAATTGTTTTAAACCAATTCTATTTGATGAAATTCGTGCAACAATTCAAAAAAGTCTTATTGAAAATGAAGAACCATTTGTTATTGAAGGTATAATAAATAAAATTGAAATAACAGGAAATGATGTTTTACTTTCTTTAATTGTAAAACGAGAAGAATGGGGAGAATTTGATTTAATAGTAGTTTCAAATGTTTCATTTGAAACAGGAACATTTCCAAAAAATTTTCCTTTTATAATTGGGGTTGTTGTTAAAAAAGGAGAAGAAGATAAAGAATCATCATTAACATTAAGGTGTTTAAAAACAAAAGAACAAAACAATTTAAATTTCTTTAAAATTATTGGAAAAGGAAAAAAAGTTTATATGAGAAAAATTACATCAATAATAAGTTCAGCAAGAGAATATCTTTCATTATGTACTATACAACATCTTTCATTAATAAAAACATTATTAAAACCATCTTTAAAAGATACTTCACCTTCAAATGGAATTTTTGGAAAATATTTACAAACAATGAAAGAAACGAATATTTTTAATTCATCTCAAATTGAATGTATTAATTCAGCATTATCAAAAAAAGGATTTTCATTAATTCAAGGACCACCAGGAACAGGAAAAACAAAAACTTTATTAGGAATTTTAGGTGCTATAATTTTTGGTAAACCAGCGTCTATTAATAAACAAGGAACAGTAAAAATGAAACATTCAAAAATATTAGTTTGTGCACCTTCAAATGCAGCAGTTGATGAAATTGTATTAAGAATTCAAAATGAAGGAATATTAAATGGAAATGGAAAAAAACAAAAAGTTAATATTATTAGAATAGGAAATTATGCAGGTATTAACTCAAAAGTTAATGAAGTACTTATTGATACATTAATTAGTAATGAATTAACTAAAAGAGGATTTAATGAACAAAAAAGAACAGAAAATGTTAGTTCAAAAATTGCTTCAATTGAACAAAAAATGAGAGCGTTAACAAAAGAAATAGAAGACACAGTCATTGCTTTAAATAATGAAAAAGAAAAAGTAGTTTCATCTACTAAAGAAAATGATAAAAAAATTAATAGAATACATAAATACACACAAACACTAAAAGAGATGAATAATAAAAGAGATGCGTTTAGAGTTACTCTTCAACAAATGAAATCAGAAAAAGGAAAAATTCAAAGAGAATTTGCAAAAATAAGAAAAGAAATTACAAAACAAATATTTGAAGAAGCTGATATTCTTTGTTGTACTTTAAATACTTCAGGAAGTGATATTTTTTTAAATTGTGTTAAAGAAAAAATTGAAAACGTTATTGTTGATGAAGCAGCTCAATCTGTTGAAATATCAACTTTAATTCCTTTAAGATTTGGTGCAGAAAGATGTATATTAATTGGTGATCCTCAACAGCTTCCAGCTACTGTAATTTCTGTAGCAGCACAAAATTCTGGTTATGATAGAAGTTTATTTGAACGTTTATATAAATGTGGAGTATCTGTTGATATGTTAAAAATTCAATATAGAATGCATCCTTTAATTAGAGAATTTCCATCAAAACAATTTTATTCAGGAGAGTTAATTGATGGAAGAGATGAAAGTATTTTACCTTGTTCTATTGATAAAGGATTTGGTCCTGTTGTATTTTACGATGCATGTGGTGGATTAGAAGAACGTGTTGGACAAACATTAGCAAATGAAGTTGAAGTTCAAATTGTTATTGGATTATTAGAAGGATTAATAAAAAAATATCCAAATTGTAAAGAATGGGATATTGGTATAGTTACCCCTTATAGACAACAATTATTGTTAATTAAAATAGCAATAGAATCATCACCATTATTAAAAGAAATGTCAAAATTATGTGTTAATACTATTGATGGATTTCAAGGTAGAGAAATGGATATTATTATATTTTCATGTGTAAGAAGTTCTCAAATAAAGCCAAGTATTGGATTTCTTAGTGATATAAGAAGAATGAATGTAGCATTAACAAGAGCTAAAAATGCATTATGGGTTATTGGAAATAGTAATACATTATGTACAAATAAAACTTGGAAACAGTATATTGAATGGCTTAAAGAAAAAGATTTAATTATTGAAATTAATGAAAGTGTTATTAGAGATACAAATAAATATGGAGAATTTGGTATGACAAAAAGTATTTCGAATAATCCTCACTTTGTTCAAGAAAAGAAAAAAGATAAAATATTTACTTTTGAAGAAATTACTGAACAACAAGAACAACAAAGAATTGAAAAAAGAAATGAAAGATTAAAAGAAAAAAATGAAGAATTAAAAGCTATTAACAAAGAACAACAAATCCAAATGGAAATTAAAAAACAACTTGACTTAATTCAAAAAAGAGAAAGAAATAAAATGAGTAAACGTTTAAAATTATTAAGAACATATGAAAATACGCGATTAGAAGAAGAATTACAAATTAGAAAAAAAAGTCAAGATGAAGAAGAAATTCATAAATTTGAATCTACAGAAAGAGAAGAAATAGAAAAAAGATTAGCTACTGAAAAAAATAGAATTGAATCTTCAATTCAACAACTTCTTAATTCACAAGAACCTCAAATAAGATCTTCTGTTGAAAAACAATTTAATGAAAATCCTATACAATTCATTGATCTTCAAGTTACCAATAACTCTCAGGATCAACTCATTATGTCAGAAGAGTCTAATGAAATTAAATCTAATGAAAATGATAATTTTAGTTCATTTGATTTATCACATATAGAAGAAGATAATACTACTTCAATGGAAAATGATAATGAACAACAAGAAGAAAAAGAAGATATTCAAAAATCCGAACGAGTAATAAATAATAATCAATTAGAAGAAGAACCATTTAACCTTGAAAAAACTAGAAGCAATTTTGAGAAACAAGTTATTGAAATGTATTATGATATGTATGATATTGAAAATGATATTGAAAATCGAGAAACTCATAAAGTAAAAATTCCATCAAGAAAAATATCTAGTAAAATTAAAACATTAAAGAAAAAAGTAATAGAAACAAAGAATGAATTTAACAAAATTAAAGGTCTTATTCCTTCATCAATTTCTAATGAAACTATTAGTGAAAAAGAACAGCGTAAACATTCTTGTTCTAAAGATCCTGAATACGAAGAAAAAAGGACATTAAATAATTAATTTGATTGGTTTATTTCATTTAAACGTTAGTCATTGTATTATAAACTTAAGAAAAAATCAATTAATGAGATGGTCTTTGATAAACATATTCTTCATCTTCTATAACAAAAGCGTTGTCTTCAGTTAAGTTTGTTTGAGTCTTATCGTCTTCTTTCTTTACATCTTCTTTAACATTTTCTATAACTGTTTTTATTTCTTCTTGTTTTGGTTCTTGAACAACTTCTGTTTGGTCATCCAAAAAACTATTTTTAAATGGAGAAGTTGGTTCATTAATAGAATCAAATGTCGTTTCATTGTTGTTGGTATTACTAAAGAAATCTTCAAATTTAAAATCTTGTTTGGTTTCTTGTTGTGTATTACATTCTTCTTTTTTTTCTTTTAATTCAAATTGGTCAGTTTCTGATTTAATGTTTTCAGGTTTTATTGATTCTGATTTATCTTCTTCAGGTTTTATTAGTTCTTCTTTGTTTAGTTCTTCTTTGTTTAGTTCTTCTTTGTTTAGTTCTTCTTTATTTGGTTCTTCTTTATTTGGTTCTTCTTTATTTGGTTCTTCTTTATTTGGTTCTTCAAATGATTTATTAAATGAAAAGTCATTATTAAATGAAGTTGAGTCAAATGTATTTGAATCAGTTGATTTACTAAAGAAATCATCAAAAGAGAAGTCTTGTTTTTGTTCTTCTTTAATACTATTATTTTGATTATTATCTATCTCATAACTAATGTCAGTTTTTTTTTCCTCTTTATGATTTGGTGATTCAATTACACTAATTTCATCTTTTTTCTTTTCTATGGGGTTACTTTCTCCAAATGAAAAATCATCAAATTTTGGTATATCACTTCCAAAGAAATTATCAAATTTTACTTCTTCATTCTTCGATGTATTAAATCCAAAATCTTCGAATGAATCAAAAGATGAGGTACCATTTATTGAAGATTTAATTTCTTTATTTTCATTATTACAAAGAACACAATGATCTCCTTCATTTAACAATCCACATTTATCGCATTTCCATACATTGTTGCCTCCTATTTGAATACCTCGTTTATTAAAAACAATATTTAGAGTTTCTCCACAACTACAGCTATTCAAATCTATTTTATCTTTACCACACTTCCAACATTTATTAACAATTTGTTTTATTTGTAATCCTTTCTCTCCAAAAAACTGTAAGAAATTATTTACACTACTAATGCAAGAATTCATTTTCTTTAAATATTCAATAGCAAGGGCAATTGCTAATCTTCTATGTGGTTTTAATACAGGTAAAATCATTAAGAAACAATTTAATAAAACACCTTCTTCATTTTCTTTTGTTTCATTATATTCAATAATTTCGCACATAAGAAAATACGCTTTAACCAATTTTATTAAATTGTTATTTAATTCCATTTGAGCACATTTCTTAAGTATTATTTCAGCA